TAAATTATTCCTCACAATGAATACCCCACACGCATACAACTAATTGCCTTTTAAATAACAACCGCCACTCAGGCTATATTTTGTTGTACAAATTTTTGCGCCACATAGGCCACATGCATTGCAAGCTTTTATCACCTTAAAGATATCATTCGTCACTAGGACAACACAAACTACATTAATGATTTTCCTTCATATGACTCACATCACAGAGAGTTTTTGATCATGTTACTTAGACGACTCCACTACATAATCAAATCCCATCACGTACATGACTCAAGTCATATAAATAATTCATATTACTTAGACGATCCAACTCACATAATCCTCTCTCATCACTTAAACGAAACTCAAAACATTACCGTATGTCTCTGCTCAATTCATTATTCTCAACAATAACCGTAGCAAAAATATATGTTTAAAATTATGATAAATTATCACAAAAAGTTGTAGGTTGGTGCGCTTACCTTATGTGATGTTTTACTTGTAGGCAACCCCTCCGTCCGAGCTTCTAGTGCGGCGTTTTTAGCGGTGTTTGTCTCCAAACCTGACATAACCGATATTCACCATTCCATTCATACATTAATACGTAATACCGCTTAAGTTTGAGATGGTTTACTCGAACCTAGTTTAATGATTATATCCTTTCAAATTAAACAACTTATTTATATTAAATAACATTATCTATTCGAATTGAATAAACCAATAGTTTGATAATCAACTCGAGTCAAGTTAAGTAATCAATTCGCATCGAGTAAAATTATCTACTCGAATCAAATTTAGCTAATCTTCTTGAATCCGTTTAGAAAATATTTATTCGAATCAATTACATCCAAATTTAACATTTTTCATAAAATTATAAACATAACAAAAAATATACTTAAATTTGCATAATTTTGTATTCAAGCATAAGATGACATGTTTACTTGTAATTACTCATATTCGTGGATTCATGAAAATTCAAGAACAATTCACTAGATTTCTAAGCTACCCACTAAACTACTATGTTAATTTTCAAGCAACACCCATAGTACTATGCATTCATAACAAGCATCCCAACAAACCTACATGCAATAATTCTACTCTTCTATTTTTCATGCAACAACATTAACTTAATTTTCAAACCCATATAAATATTGAGGTAAATCATTCATGTGTTAATCAAAGTTCTTACTAAGCATCATACTTAAAAGATACCATATTTTAAATGCATGCAACACTCAAAATATATATGTTAGAGTTAGATTCTTACATCTTGGAGGAAGAAAATGGATTATAATTCTTACCTTTGCACCCACACTTTTTTTTTCCTTCTCTTCTCTATTTTTTTTTTCTTTCCTTCTTCTTCCATTTCTTTCTTCTTCTTCTTTCCTTCTTGTTCTTGTTCTTGCCGAAAATGTCTAAGACTTCTTGTTTCTCACTTTTTTTTTTTTCATGCAAGACATGTCTTTCATGTCTTGCTAAGTGGAGACTTCCATCATTACTTATACACACACACATATATATCCATACGTATATTTTCTTATACAATGTATATGTATACATACTTATATTTATATGTCCACTTTTTCTTTATATGCATATTTATACATAGACATGTATATATATATTCAAATTATTGATCACTCATTAAATTCGTATTTTGGACCCTTAACCACTCCTTATATATATTAACACATTTTATTTTAATAACAATAAATTGATGTCACATGCTTGCCACCCAATTCATTCCACATGCACCAATGTACATAAAATAATAAACTCATATTTGTCAACATTCTTATTTAGCTTTTCATATTTGAATAAAACAATTCCCCCTATAATCATTATTTATAAATTATTTCTGAATATTAAAATTTTCATTGTTTAAGTTTAGATCTCATATCATTACTCGTAATTAAATATTAGTTGTCACTCCTACAGATGCATGTCACATATGAATATGTTTATTAAAAATATTAAATGTTTGTTATGCTTGTTCGGGTTTTAAAATTTTTCCCTCTTTAGAAATTTTGTCTCCAAAATTTGGCTTATCAATCTGAAACAAGTATATATATATATATATATATATATATATATATATATATATTTAATTTCAACTATTTTAATTTTATATATGATGTCTAAAATAAGTACTTGTATCTAAAACCCTAACATAAAATAAAATGCTTAATTAGTTTTCTCGGGTCTCACATATATTATATTGCAACGACTGAAATTGGCTCATGCAAGCATAGGCGAGGGGAAAGCGAAGAATTAGTGTGGGTGGACACTTTAATTACAAGATTTAATTATTTCTTTTTCAATAGATAAAAATAAAACGATAGATTCATATTTAATTTCATAACAACCAATCATGAGAAAATAAAGATTAGTTGTAGATCAATTATAAGTAATTCATGTTTAAATTAAAAATACAAACAAAAAAAAAAAAACGTAAGTATGCAAATAAAATTTCCCTTGTAAAAAGCTCCAACACATTAAAAGAAGCAAATCGTAGAGCAATCGCATGTCATAATTTCAAAAAAGCGCTCTTAATTTATATAGATTTATTATAATCCCTTCTTCAATTTCACCTAGTGAGAATAATACCATCAGATTAAAACGGTTTCCCTCGAACTTTTACCAAGTTTAATAATTTTGTTGTTTTATTTTATGACAGTTTTTCTTCTACTTGCGAAATGTTTATGTCTTTTACTATATATACTCTTAAACATAATGAAATAACAAAATAATCTTGCAATTATTTTGAAATAAAATTGCCAAAATAGCCTCCAATTTGTCCAAACCTTATTTGCACGTGTCCAAAGTGTATTTATAGCGTGTTCATAGCCATTTTATGTATGGTTCTATACAAAGCGATAACTTAGGCACAAGATATATTTGAAAAATATATAGTACATACAAATATATTATAAAATTTATAATTTTTAAGAAAAGTTTGAGGGTGGGCCAAGGATTATTCTGACCCCCAAATGGCCAGATAGCTTCACCCTATGTGCACGAGGATCTTACGTATATATGTAGGAACAATGACTCCAAATGAGATTTCATGGCTAATCCTTTTGGAGTTTCTATGGTTACTAAATATTGCATCAACACCGACGTGTGCATATGACCGCGAGGGCTTAGGGGGCACTACAGCACTGAGTTACTGAATTTATGGAGCTGACCACCAGCAGATTGTAATACATGTGATTGATTATGAGCCCCTCACATGGATACAAGGGGAGAAAGAGGGAGAGATTGTCACGACCTGCATTAAAGTGTGCTAACCCACTAATAAGAAGTTCACATTAAAGATCGTGTATACACGTATGTAATAATAACGAGACTAATTTATTTAGGAGAGGGAAGAATGACCAAGTTAGACCAATAGAGTCACATTACATTCATTTGAACACCAAATGGTTCCAAAGTTTTAGTGGAATTTCAAACACTCTAGAGCTTGAGCAACACTCTTAACAGTCTAACCTCATTTTGTTGCATAAATCAAGTATTCAATTTTTTTCTCCTCTTTTTTCACAAATCAAATCAATAACCAAGTTGCGGAAACAATCTCTCTAATAAGACTGCTCACATCTGATATTCTCCAAACTCCATAATGACAGAAACCTCATGCAACCAAGCTGAGTTTTTTACACAATTCCATGATTCCTAAATATTATAATGCACACACCGATCTTTATTGAGACAATAGGAAATTTACAGTTTCAAAATAGCACAAAAAACTTTATAAACTTGATGTCACACAAAAATCAAGAGGGAATACAAATCCTCACAGGGGAAAACAAATATCAGAAAATACCAGAAAATTTTTAAGAGAATATATTTCCTTCCTAACCTGAAACTAAGTATACAAATTTACATCATGGGGAAACCCAGCTGAATATAATCAAACAACCATTCTGATTGGAGGGAAAACAAAAGAATATGTACTCCACTGCAAGCCACAGGGGCTGCACAAGCCAAGAATGCTACAAAAAACCATCAAACCATCTTCAATAGGATCTGGTATCTGGATTAATTTCAAATAGATCACTAGTTGATGCAAACGAAGAGCACACACCCGTTTGGATCGTCATTGAGTTCTGGGTTTGGCTTCCACTGAAACTCTGGGTTTGCTTCTCTCGGTGAAAGTCTCTCATGGCTTTAAATCTCAAATCTTTGGTATAGCTATTTGGTTCTGGGATTACATCAGGAATGGACATTTGTCCTTCAAGCATGCTCACAACCTCAGACATTATGGGCCGGAGTGATGGAGATGCATTTGTGCATAAGAGTGCTACTTTCACCATCCTTTCTGCTTCTTTTTTGTCAACTTTAGACCCCAGCCTCTGATCAACAAGCTCCTCTAAGCTTCCACTTTGTTGCAACATACAGGCCTGCAATATGAATATACTTGTTGAAAACTTTAAAAAACCAAAAAAAAAAACAATTTGCTGGTGTTTAATGGCAGCATGCCTATGCTTAGACTAGCTTTTGTGCTGGCAAAATAAGGAATATTAAAGACAGATGTACAACAAAATGATGGGGGTAAGAAGTTTCGAAGTACCCAATCTAAAAGACAAACGCAATTGCTACTTGGCATGTAATTGTTGTTGTTCTTCCCACTAACAATCTCCAAAACCACAACCCCAAAGCTGTAAACATCTGCTTTGTAGGTCAAGTAACCCCACAGGGCGTACTCTGGTGCCATATATCCTCTGCAAACCGACATTATAGTCAAAATATGGCAACAAATTTACCCATCTACGCTGAACATTATGAGCATTTAACTACGGCAAGCAGGCAGACTAACGAGAGTGTTCAATCATGCAAGAAGAGCATAACAACTCACATTGTTCCAGCGACCCGAGTGCTAATGTGGGTCTTTTCATCTTCATTGAGCCTAGCCAATCCAAAGTCGGAGATTTTAGGGTTTAGGTCTCTATCAAGCAGTACATTAGTGGCTTTAATATCTCTGTGAACAATTTTGAGCGTCGATTCTTCATGGAGAAAAGCTAAACCTCTAGCAATTCCAATACAGATTTTAAACCTTGTTGGCCAATCCAGTACCAATTGACTGTCTTCTGAACCTGAACATTATCCAACACCATAACATTAATTGATGAAGCCATTTGTAGCGGATGGTAAAAGCGTGGAATGAATGGGGTAGCAAAATTATATAACTCACCAAACAAAGCACTGGCAAGGCTATTGTTTTCCATGTACTCATATACAAGCAACAATTGATCCCCTTCGATACAACATCCATGAAGCTTAACAAGATTTGGATGCTGCACACAAGAAATCATGCCTATCTCATTCAAAAATTCACGATTTCCTTGCCTTGATTTAGAGGAGAGTTGCTTCACTGCGATTACAGTACCATCAGATAATAGGCCCTGCACCATAGCCTCAATTCAGAATTCATACATGAAATAAACAGGAAGATGGAATCAGTACTGGTTTTAGCTATTATACCTTGTAAACAGAACCAAAACCACCTTCTCCAAGCTTGTTTGTATGATCAAAGTTGTTTGTAGCAATTTTAATTTGTTTTAGGGTGAAAGAAACTATTTGCAGCTCCATTCCTTCAAAATCTGTCCAAGGAAAATTTAGAACCTGAGAACCAGTGCTTCAACTTTTATGATTCCTATTCAAACTTCCAAAGTACAACATATAAGTCAAGTTTCAATATCCAGTTTCTCTTTGCATCAAGGATAGAGTATGTCTTGAATAACAGCCTGATCACAGTATCTCAGATTTTTTGCATCTCATCCTTCTTCTCCTGACTTGACACTTAAATATGTAGTTTACAACAACTGTTGTTATATTGATATAGGTTAAGTCACCACTGAAACAAGTGAAATTCATATCTCAAGACCTTCAAAATATTATCTTTGGGACTAACTTTCTATTATTGATATTGTTAGCAAATTGATAGTAATTGGCGAATTCCGTGTAGTCACTTTGTACTTGTAACTCAACTAGATCAATGGTCAAGATACTTTTGAGTTATGAAGACTGAATACCAAAGTAATATGTGGTGAAAAAACTCAAGCTACATTGCAACACATGTGAACACTTCTTGGATTCCATCAAACTTAGGTGAGGTAATGTGACCTAGATACCTAGTTTACCTTAGAATGGTATAACTTAGGTTGATAAAAAGGATTTTTGACACAACAGGTTTCTTTTTCTGTTGTTTCAAAAAATTCTATTCCTTTTTTTTCCTGTTGATGCTTTTGAAAAATTAATTTCATTGATCGATTCAGAACATCTGTTCCTCGATAGTGATAATCTATACTTTCAAAGTTAGAAGGAATCACTCGAGGATTAGGAAACGGACTGAGCATGAAAGTAGAATTTCAATGCTCAGCACTCAATCGCTGCACTGTTTTTGTGGGCAAAAATTCTATTTCAGTAGCGAGCGCTCTCCAAACCGATCAAGCGTTGTGTCATAGGATAGATTTCTTACTCGCCAATTAAACTCTATTTTCCTACACCTATAAATAGTGGACCCCTTTAAGAGACTTAAGAGAGACACTAGGGTTTAAGAACGGCTAAAAAGACAAAAAAAAAAAACTCACCCTAGCATCCTTATCAACCCCCATCTCTACTAAGATCAGTCTAGAGTCCTCGAAGAGAAATCAATCTAGACTTGAGAGATTTTGTAGAAACCACCACAACTGATAAGAAGAGGATCCTGGGGGACTACGAATGATCGAGGGAAGATTCCAAAGGAGAAGAAACAGAATTCTAATGGGCGGATCCCGGTGTTCAATTCATCACCTATTGAAGTTAGTTGTCAAGAGCTTGCGGTCGATTTCGGAGTGAAGATTCAAGAGAGAAAACATATAACAATAATATTTCTTAAGTGAATGCGAATTGTGGTGTTTGTCGCTTTAATTGATTGAATCATCTTGATTGAATTGGAGGACGGGATTAAAGGGATAAGGATGGTGGATTATACATGTATGTGAATTATCAAATTTCAGAATTTTGCATTAATTTACTTGCTTGGATTTGAGTCTATTAGAGATATGATAGGATAATAAGGAATCCATCAATATCTAGGTAGAGATATGATAGGATCTATCGAGGCCTGTTTGGATAAACACAGATGATGATGATAGAAATATGTTATTTATATTTATCTTGTGTAATTCTCAGTCTATAAATAGGGTTGAACCCCATGTAATCAATTACCGAGAAATAATGCATCTATGTACCCCATTAGACATTTAGGTCCATAGACATAGGCACATTGTACATTATGCCAAACCACATACATCTTTATGTCTTGTTTCTCTTCCCTTTCTTATCTCTAATCTCAGTTATATTATAACATTTCTACATGGTATCAGATCAAATTGGTCGGACCTTCGAATTTGCTTCTGCTTTGTCTACAATTGACAATTCTTACCGGTCGTTGATCTTTCACTGTTATGTTTTTATTTTTAATTTTTTGGCTCAATTCTGCTGGTCTAACTACTCTTTGGTGGTTCAATTTCATTCACACCTTTATGCGGATACAATCAAGTGTGGGTTGCGATCAAGTAAACAATTATGGTTCAAGAAGAAAACATGTTTATGGTTCTCAAACCATTGACAATCCTTTGTTTTGCAAACGTGGTATATTCACCAAATGCTATAAATATCCACTAGCCCAACTACAGTTAAAGACTCAGAGGAGTAGAAGAAAGATGAATAGTGTTGAATCTAAAAATTTTAAAGAAAAAAGGGGAAGAAGAGAGAGAAAATAGTGGGAAAAAATGAAAGAAAAAAAAAAGGATTGGAAAAAAAAAAGGAACAGAAGGAAAAAAAATTGTCCCACATTATCTTCATGGGAAAGTTTGAGGAGTTTCATCACCAAAGCCACATCATCCGATTGACAAACAACCATCTCATGTTTCAATTCAAGTTGGACACTTCAACTGATTTCAATGTACCAACTTGAGGGAGAGTATTAGAGATATGATAGGATCAGAAAGAATCCATCAATATCTAGGAAGAGATGCGATAGGATTCAAGGAGATCCATCGATATCTAGGTTTGTTTGGATAAATACAAATGATGATAGGAATATGTGATTTATATTTATCTTGTATAATTCTCACCCTATTAGCCCTATGTAATCAATTATTGAGAAATAATACATCGATGTAGCCCTTTAGACATATAGGGTTGTAGATGTAGGCATATTGCACATTGTATCGAACTACGTATATCTTTGTGTTTTGTTTCCCTTCCCTTTCTTATCTTTAATCTCAGTTATATTATGACATTTCTACACAGTCTAAGAGAATTGAGGGATTCGCTCATTAACTGAGCAATTAACTATTCATTGAGCGATATAAATTTTACTTGGACATCAACTTCGCGTTGAGTGTGTAAGATCTCTTCACCCCTCTTTAGGCCACTCACGACTGTTTCAGCGCGTGGGCACGATCTCATATTTGCACTCTTAGATATTTTAGAATTCTTCTTTCCTATTGTTTTACTTTTTATTGTTATACTTTTTCTTCTTGCCTAGGATCTCCAAATTTTTACTACCTTAAATAAAATTCTAGACCTACACCTATGGTCCAAAATAAAATGTTTAAACCCAAGTTCAATTCTACTATTTAGGCTTATAGAAGTCTACCAATCTCCTTTCTCTCTTTCTCTCTTTCTCTTTCAATTCTGCTTAAGTTCGATTCAATCTAATTTTTTTACAGTTCCACATAAATTTTTTGGCTCTAGATTCAATTAAATCCTATGTTGTTTTTAGGCTCCCTAGAAATATCTCTCTTTTTCCTCTCAAAGTATTAACACAGGTCGCTCCCTCCTACCCCCCTCCCCCACACACCCCAGCTCTCTTTCCGTATACGGTTATACCATTTCTCTTTATTGTTGTCTTTCTCTCCCTTATTTCTTCTCTCAAATTTTCACCTTTGAAAAAGGGACTACAACACAAACGTCAATATAAATTGGTATTTTTGACAGATTATCTAGATTTGGTATGTCATATTTTATGGATTTTTTTTGATCTAGTTATAGTTTGATCCTAATTATGTATATGTAATATGTAACTATATGAAGAAATTACGTGATTATTGATGAAATTAGTTGAAATTCTGGTGTAATTTATTGAAATTCAACTCAATTAATTTATTCAAATTGGATCAGATTGTCGACTTCTATCAGTTTAGGAAATGGATTGTGGAAACATAATTCATCAAATACACAGATTGGATTCACATTATATTTTCATAACTCAGATGTAGATTGAAAAAAAATTGATCTAAATCAAATCCCTTGGTAGATCTAGTCATAAGTATACAAAACATTAATAGGGTATCGTCTAATATATTCGCCTTAGGCCTCGGTTTGCGTCGGCCCGCCCTGCTAGCATGTGGCTGGAGTGTGGTGGATTGTGATTGATGTCAAAATAACAGGTTGTGGTTAGTTGTAATCTCCGTGCCATAGCTTGTCGTTTTAATTGCCGATTGATAAGTGGGTTCCATTTGGAACTCACTATGCTAGTGTTTGTCGATTAAAGAAGTCTATGTATGGTGCGGTCTGACTCTGAAACATTCACTAGAGCGTGGTTTGGGTTTGTTATACTTATTGTTTACATAGAAATATTGTGACCCCACTTGTGTAGTCGAAGTATCAAATTTGCAAGTATCTTCTTTTTTTTTCTTAAACTTCAATACTCAATTGTTCAAGTTTCAACTGTATATATGATTATGGAACTATTGATAGCACATCCTAAAAATTGGAGAATATCAAAGTTAATTTTCAGCAATTAATATACTGCTCACCTTTTCCTCTCCTTTTTCTGCCTTTAAAACAGCCTTTCCACCATAGAATGCCGAATACTAAGAAAATAGCACATAGTGCAGCAACTCCAACGGAAACATAAACAGATACCTTCTTCTTTCCACCATTTGAGCAAGATTTGAAAGCTGCCCCAAAGAGCAAACCCAAATAATTATGCTTGCAGAAAACAGATGTAACAGAAGCAGAAATTTTGACCAAAATAGATAAATTTGGTAGCTGAGGCATAATTCTCACATTCATACACCTTAGATACTTGGCACCAAGGTTCAAGGAAAATATGCATTGCCTTAAACAGATTCGAACCTTTATTTTTGGGAGTAACAGAGGAGAAAGAGACAAAATAGTGGGGGCCAGGGATAAATTAAAATGAAAGATGACAAAAGCTAAGCTTGACACCCGATTTTCTCTATTTAATCACTAAGCTAAATTAGGACTAATGCATAAAACTTTTCTAGCCATCTAAGTTGTCATGGCCACCAAACATTTGGAAATATGGTTCTGGGTCCATCCTAGATCACTCCATTGAAGGTCTAGATCAATGAATGCGTGAAACCAAACTACACCCTATTCCGAGGTCAACGGGATCTCAATTCCTGGTTTTCACTGGCCCAGGCTTCATGACTAACTGATAGTAGTATGAACAAGAACAGCATAGAAAGAATTGAACAAAGCTACAATTGAAAAAAATGTAGTCCATGTGTGTGACCATAGGCCCAGGTCAATCTTATTTGTAGTGCACTCGTTTTATATCTGTGAGAGGTAATCTAAGGAGACAATTTCACATGTAATATTGTAATTTGGCCAGGCCATGACATGAAATGATGAACATATCCATACGCCCAGACAAAGTCGGTGGTCCCTCAAACACCATGCTTGCAAATAAACACACAATGGTCTAGCACAGCTCTTCATGCAGGCTTCTTTTTTTCCCCTTGAAACAATGTAAAGCTATTGCATTTACTCCATATAGCAGATGTAGGACTTGAAAACAAAATGTCCTTTATCCGTTTGGCATGATATATGGGCTTTAAATTTTTTAGGCCGGACAAAGGGGTCAGCTACTTTGTTACATAATCACAGGCGAAAGCATGTTGTGCCAAATCAACTTTGAGTAAACCCTGGATGAAATAATGTGGGTTTGTTACAATAGTAACATCTTTATGTATAAGGAAAGAAAAGTCTAAAATATACAAGCAAAATACTTACTCGGATTAACCGAAATAGCTGATATAAGTGGACCATAAACTCCTCTGTTAGGAATGCGTGTAGTCCCTTTACCAGCCCAATAGAATCGGATCTCTAAGAAATTCTTTGTCACACTGGCATTGAATGGCCTTTCTACAGGCATTTGAACCCCCCCAGCCTCATCTTCTATATTGAAATCCTTCCAAACTAATTTTTCCTGAGACATAAAAAGGTCTATCAGAAAAAAATTTATGACTTAGTAACAATTATAATTCATATAAAAAATTACCTGAATATAAATATCAAATATCCGCCTCCCAAGACTGTTATATGTACTGTCATTTGTGAAAAGTATTTCTGCAAAGTGCAGAATTATGGTGTAATCTCCATTCTCCATGCAATAACGGACATAAGTAAGCGAAAGAGGAGAAACACGTGCTGTCCTATACAATTCAGAGATGTGTGTTGAGGGTGCGGTTGCAACAAAACGCGTGTTCTGGTAATTATCATCGTCCATGAAGTCCCCACCGCTACTAAATCCCCAATCATCACTACTAGTATAGTATTTTGCATCACCACCTTCAACTGCTGCATCTCCTTCATACACAAATTTCCCTTCCGTCAAACTGTTGCCGCCACAATTGACATGTAAAGAACACCCATCTGCCATAGATGAAATAAAGTGATGCAATTATGCAAGCACCATTATACTTAACATATAGAGTAAGAGACTATGACCTAACTACAGATAGGTGTCAGGGACGTAAATTTATACCAAATTACCAAACTATTTTATTGAGCTTTCTGTCAAAAGGTGTTAGTTCTCCCAGTGGACTGTTAATGCCAACTTTTCAAATCTCCACTTAGGAATTTTCTTTAATTTGAATGAGTTGGGGTTTGAAAATTTTTTTGAAAAGATTAAAAGGCTATTTAAAGGAGTTGTAATATAATGAATTGTAGAAAGAAGCCGTTTTCCATCACACTTAAAGAAGAATCCATAATGAGGCTATCAGCCTTCTTTCATTCCCTAACTAATTATTTTATCTACCAAAAGAAGAAAAAAATAGCATACGTACATCTTGGGCAGTTGATGTCCTTCATACATGGAAGGATATCCCTTCTGTTGCAGATTGAGTATAAAACAGTTAGAATCAAATATGCATTAAGCAGGAAAATGGCTACCTTTAGCTTTGAAACTTCCCACCCCTTTGGTTATAAATATTGAATTTTAAAATTGCTAAAAAAAGAGCATCTTACAGGGTGTTATTTGTTGACGAGCTTCTAAACAAGTTTATGTATAGGTTCCTAAAAACATGACAAAAGCAAGAAATCTATCAGTGCTACAAACCATTTAACTAGGAAGCATACAGGAGCAAAATAAAAATTGGAAAAAAGGACCAAAAGAAGTATTCTAACATGTTTGGCCGACAAGCGGGTTGCTCTGGGCCTTGCCATGTGAAATTATTGTAGGAAAGATCACTGCACATGTTCAATGGAATATTACATATCAAGCATGATAATGATGAAAATCTCAGGCATAACGGATACAAATAAAATATCAAGCATTTAGGTTCTCAGAAGAACAAGCAAAAAAAAAAGGGTTTTCAGACGGACATTGATAATGATGAGCACCACAAATGAAGTATACTAATGTGAAAAGAGATTCAAAATTTACCCATACATGTGGGGCAGTGCTATTAGTCCCACTTTTTACACTGGAACGACAATTTCATTAAGAAAAATATCCAGGGAAATGCAGCAAAAATCAGATGACAAATAGCACTGCCATAAATGCTTCCACCAAGTACCAGCATAAACTCACACATTCAAACACAGGACAAAAATTCAGAAAAAAAAAAAAATTCCAGATAGCAAACTTACAGACTAATTCCATCCTTCAGAATTGAAGTTGGTACATCTCCACTTAGCATGTTGCCAATTAAAAATCTGCTCAAACCAACATCATGAAATTATTATGCCATATAGTAGGACAAGATCGTAGTGTACTGTTGCATTTGACATTTGGTGAAAAATTATTTGACCACCTAAACAAAAGAACGATCACTAGCTTAATAGAAAGTTAAAAGTATTTCTAGACACAACTTTGACTTGTTTTGATAAATTCTTTTAAGATTATTACCTGCAATTAATTTTTCAAAGCGCCATCAAATGCAGCCTAAATTTCTTGGTTTTATACTTACACAAATTTCAGATTCCTTGCACCAATGTCATTTGGAATTCCCCCCACCAACCTGTTAAAACTGACATCTCTGTTGAAATCACAATACAAACATTAAGTTAATAAGGAATGGTAAACATAAATCACAAAGAGTCCCTACCACAATGTACATTTGACAGCCAAGCGTATCTTATAAATTTGTGGCTAAATGTAACTGAAATACAGAAACACTGTAGAGAATAGAATGAATAAACAAAAGTGAAGGAGCCAGGTGAGAACTCCCGAGTACCCCAAATATTCAAGAGCAACAAAGAGAACTAAGGTGGCCTATAATCTGAACCAAATCGCCCACAGTGAGCAAAACCCTGTTCACCAAAAATGCAACTGAAAATTGGCCAACTATGGATTCCAGAAATGGTTTGTATTCACACTAAATAAAATTCTGTAGGGTGTTATTCCCAAAAGTTGGAAGATAGAATATCATTTGAATGATAGTTATGACATGGAACATTTGGAGATATCATTAAAGACTTTTGATCTAGGGAGGTGAATTTGCTGGGACTGTTAGTTCGTCTAAATTTTCTAGGCATCGATTTATTTTTGTTTTAAAGTTGTTGTGTGTGGAAGGAAGGGACCCATGTGGTGATGGAATGTCTTTGTTAATCCACCAATGAATTTTCCAGCACACCCCTCCTTTTCCCAATTTTCCTCTCAAACAGGATAAAGATTGAGAAGCAAACATTTTGGAAAGGATTCATTGCCTTAACAATTGAGCTTCTTCGAAACAAGTTGAATGTCGAGGCACTCAATTACTAAGATCTGAGGAGTAGTAGGGAGAATGATGATGAAGATACTTTATGTTTCCCATCCAGTGACTTACCAAAGCGGTCATGGTCCTCATTGTCATCAATCAAAATTGTTTGTACATAATCAAAGCGAAATATCAAATAACTAAAATTTAAAACGCATTACTTACAACATTTCCATATTCCTTAGCCCCCAAACATATTCAGGAATTTCTCCAGAAATGTTGCAGTTTCTGAGTACCCTAAATTCAAGAGTGAATTAATTAATGACTGTTGGATCCAATGCATAATCTGTATGCCTAAAATCTGTCATGATCACTTAACATACAATCTTACTATGCCTGTAATGCCCCTCAGCATAGGAAAACCCTGAACTGGCCCATTTATGTCACTAATCCTCCTGTTTAAAATGACGCAACCATGAGCAAATTCCTTCAAAACTAAAAAGAACCCAAATGTGGGAATATAGAAGGAATGAAAACCACTTAAAAGATTTGAGAAGGTTCTATACTCACAATTCAGTCAAGTTATCCAGAAGAGATATGCTAGATGGAATGGGCCCCTCAAGTCCACTTGCATGCATTTCTCTTCATCAACACACATGAATTATTTCAACATTGAAACATAAGAATCATGCATAACTTGGGTTTTTATCAAATCTCAAAAAAAAAAAATTTTAATCGATAAGGATCTTACAATCTTGTAAGTTGGTTCCAATTCTGTATAAAATCAGGTATCGGTCCGCTGAAGTTGTTATCATTTATCCTACTGCAATGTGCAGAAAAATGGTGTTGAACTGATACTATAAAGGAAGATGATACTAAATCAAATAAGACAATCTAATTGCTTACAAATTTGATAAATTTCTTAGTTCAGCAAACGTTGTCGGCAACTTTCCTGTCAACCGATTGGAGGACAACATACTGGAATAACATCATGTTTCAGAACAAAAAAATTTGGTACTTTCATCCATCGGAAATTTGTTGGAGGAATTAGGCACAAAGTGGAGAAGAAAGGGAAGTCTTACAGAGTTTTTAAGTTAATCAACTTCCCAAGCTCCGGCGGAACAGTACCTGAAAATTGGTTGGCTTCAAGGTCCCTGCTTAAGAATATCCATCAGAATTACTAAAGCAGAATAGGAACTTATTGCTACATCTCCTAAATCCATTGAAAGTAAACAATACATTCTTTGCTTAGGTTGTCCTTCTAGGCATTGCTTTTCAACATTTGACCCAATTTCATAGACTTCATTTACCACTCAATGCCATCTTCAAAAGGGGTAAAAAATGGATCACACCATCCAAAAAGAAACTTGACAAATCAAATGTGAGGACCTACAGGTATGTGAGACTAGTAATATTTCCCAATTCCTTTGGGATTTCCCCTGATAAGCGATTTGCAAGGACAGAGCTGCATCAACAGTTTTGGGGTTAGTTTTCAGGAAGAAAAAATGAATAACTACTGAGATTACACATAAAAAGGTAGAGAGAGAGGAATACATTAAAGTTAACTGTGTTGAAGCCCATTCGAGTGGTATTGTACCACTGAGGTAATTGTAAGCAAAATCACTACAGGCGAGATAAACATATATTAAATTCAGTACACAATTCTGTTCACATCTGAGCCTTGTGAAAGAAACAAGTGTCAAAATTTTTGATATGGAATGTGAATCTGGCATTTGAAAAGCCTCTTACATTTCTTGGAGGTGAGTAAGCTTCACCAGTTCAGGGGGAAGCATACCAGGAAGACTATAACGCTTGAGGACACTGCATGAAAGAAAATATTAATTCAAGTGTCAAGCCTAGAGGCAGATGCTATGAGAAAACCAGATTAGTACGAGCAAAATTTTATTCTGATAAGTAAGAAAGCTGAACCGCACATTGTTGTTAGTATCGTACGATACGCGATACGTATCGTACGATACGTTACGATACAGCCCTAAAACGATACGGATCGTAGTTATGTATCGTTTTTGCGTTGTATCGTCCGATACACGATACGTTTTTACGATACGATACGTATCGGTACGATACGCACGATACGTGCAATTTTTTTTTTTTTTTTTTTTTTTTTTTTTTTTTTAAAACGACGTCGTTTTGTGCTCTGATTTTTTTTTTAAAAAAACGACAAGTGAAGACTTGTTGGCATCCGATCACAATGATGATGATGATGATGATGCATTTTCAATTGAAATTGAAGATTGAGTTCAAAATAGATGTTAGAAATTTGGATTAGAAGTCTCTTTGGTGTTTAAAGTTTGAATTAGTGAACTATGGTTGTGAACTTTGCATTATAATAGTAGTGGATTATGTTGATAACTTGAATAATTGGTGGAGTATTAATGAAATGCTATATTTTTTATGAGTGTATGACTTTTTTTCAAAGGTATATATATTTTTTTATTATTTATTTAAAATTGCATCGTATCTTACGATACACGATACGATACACGATACGATACAATATTTGTATCTTACGATACGCCTTCCGATACACGATTTGATAACTATGGAACCGCATATTACAACATGATGAAACCATTCTTTCCCAACTATCTTAAATCACTAAAATCAACGCTATGTGAGTCTTTAAGGGATAAAAATATCATCCACTTGGCCAGGATGAAGAGGAAGCTATTTGCAAGAATAGACCCTATCTTCTACATTACAGTCTCATCCCTTTTAAATCTTTTTCTTTTTCATGATATTCGATCCTCTTCTGAGGTTGTCTAGAGGTTGTAAATAGAGTTCAAAATCGTTTTTGGAATATGGTTCTCAACTATAAATTTGTTCCTATGAAAGTGAAGATTTTACATGTGACAGGCTCCATGATCACAAGGCACACCATCCCACGTAACATGACTTTAAGGAAGAGTTAAAGCAATATATTTTGTAATTAGACCAGGAAACAACTGAAAAAAAAAGGAACTATACATCTTTATGACGTGGCCGACAGTGTTGTTCAAGTTACGATCGCAAACAACATCACTCTCGGATCCAGTTGGTGCTTGTGGCGTCATACCGACCATTTCAACTTTGCAAGATTCGGCATTGAACCTCCAATATGTTGCACCCATTGTGGTGATAATTTGTTGGAGAGCATCCACTAGGACGAGTGTACGACAAAATAAGCATCAAATCACGAAACAATGTTGTACAAATAAGCACCAGATCATGAAGCAATGTTGTATAAATAAAAGCAAGTGGCAAGGAAATCAGCATGAGAAAGTTACCACTTACAGTTCACCAACAGGATAGAAATTCAAGCAAAACGAATTCAATTAATTAAGGATTCAACCACCCTAAAGTTGTTTACAGAATTAAAAGATAAGTGTGGTAGGTTGGGGGAAGGAAATTGTAGATTTTTAAAGGACAGTGTTTATAAAGCTTATACAGCTAGAGTAAATAAAGGTCTAATTTAGGTTGTCAGAAAGATGATAGATCCAAATGTAGCTACTAGTGTATGTGTGGTTCCTCCCCCAGAATCATCTTCCTGTCAAAATTTTTGTCATATCACTACGACCTAAGTTCAAGCCATAGTATTGAGTCATTTATGTGAACCACTCTAATGGGCTGTCCTTGTTTTTAAGATGCACTCTTCCAAAACCTTTGATCTAACATAAAACACTTGCATGGGAACCAGGACAATGATGATAAAAAGCCAGAGTATTTTTCAATAGGGAAACGTACGAGGAAAGATCTAAGAAGAAACCGTACCAAGCACTTCAAATCACTGCTTCTAATAAATTACAAATAGCTTGGAGCTAAATTTCAGAACTGGTGGAGTGCAAAAACGCAAAGCATTTCAAGTTTTGTAGTGGTTCTTTGTCCCTTTCTCTCTTTTTTCTTTGTGTTTTTCTTCTTCTTCTTCTTTTATTTATGCAAACTGAGCTGAATAGAGCTTTGCTCCCACCACTAGTGGCTCACCAGTCACCACACAACCTTTTTTACGATTTATGTCTATCTATGTTCATAACTTTAATCAGATGATGAACCAGTGTTCTTCAGTCACATATCCACTGACAACTCCTCTTGCCTTGTAACTTTTTCAGCTTGAACATAAACTATTCATTCTCACTGTACAATCTTAAATCATCTTAAAAAAGGTCTCTCATCTTGTCATAAATTGTGCCAATTTCTCACAGATCCATTCAGTTATTTCCCATCCTTTTCTTTTCTTACCATTCCTCACATGCATAATAGCACGCACACACACATCTATCATTTCTGGAGCTCCCCCACTGATTACTCTCTTCTGCTTCAGTACAAACCAAGAATTCTCTCTCAAGTTTTACCTTATATTGAACCATGTTGACCAATCAACAAAACACAAAAATACCTCATTATATACATATAAGAAGTGAAAATCGCAAAGTTCAACAAGATATGAATGTAACAACAACTTATAGCGTCAACATAAACCACTATTTCAAGAAAGAGTAATGGCACAAGTATTTGGGTTTTGTGAATGCGATACAGCGCAAGATCCCATCAGGGGCGGCCCAATCTAATTTGGGCCCCTAGGCGAAAATGTTATAGAAGGTCTTTTAAATATTTATTCAGTAATAATAGTAATATTAAATACTCTCTCCGTTCCTAAATATCTGTCATTTTACATAATTTTTTTTTTTCCATAATATCTGTCGTTTTATGAAACCAAAGTATAATTAATATTTTTTTTTCCAAATTTACTCTTAACTTTTCAATACATTAGGTGGAGGTTAAGTACCTTTCATATTCTTTTCCTTCCCAATACGTATTGAATAAGGGTATTTTAGTTTTGTGTAATTATTTTTTACTCATATTAGAGCTATTTAATAGCTTCTTTAATCCCTGTACAAAAACCTTAAACGACAGATATTTAGGAACGGAGGGAGTACTTATTAAAATATATTTATTTACAAATTATTTGTTTTGTCTTTTGAGATATAACGTACTAATTCAAATTTTTAATTCCAATTTTACAAATAAAAATTGTGTTAATCGAAGTCAAATATGAAGATCAAATACAATAATACATACTATTTGTTTAAGGTAAAAGAGAAACATAATTGAAAATTAGGTTGACTAGTAAAATAATTTTTTATAAATATTTATAAAATAGGAGTTTATACAAGTTGAGTAGTCTTAAAATAAATGATATATTGCTAGATATCATAGAGAAAAAGAGCAAATTTTTAGATAAAAAATTTTAGTAAGACAACTATAGTTAATTAATTTAAGGTAGCTAGTGTGTTACTTCTACTCACCATATTTTATAATCATCTTGTGCATAATAAACAAATTTATTAAAAAATGACGTCAAATTTAACTTATACAAATATAAAATTATTATTCGTACCTATTATATGATAGATAATTAATTTTAATAATAAGACTGCAAAGTGATAATGCATATAATATAAATATTGGGTGAGATAAAAAAGAACTTTAGGGCCCTAAATTTTTTAAAAGAGGTTCTTAAAATTTTACAATAATGCTAGTTGCACTTAATTCGAGGACTAAGTACATTAGATAAATAGTAAATTTTGTTTAAACTTAGCACTCATTATTAATTCAATAATTAAAATATATTAAATATTTAAATTATATTCTAAAATAATAATTTTTTTTTTTATTTTGGTGCCCCAAATTTTTCTTCCAAATTGGGGGCCCTATAAAACGATAATTTGTGAATTTATCCACATAAAAAGCAAATCTTCGAGGCAAAATCAGTAGATAATCGTACCAAATAGTAGATGAAATCCAACAAAACCATTCAAAAAGTCAGTCAGAATTTACAGGACCCAAGTAAATCATATCCATTTTAACAAAACCCAGCTGACTACAACCAGCTTAACCTTTTTAACATCGAGTTCTCTACAAACAAACCTTTCTTGTTACTCACTCAGAGTTTTTAAGTTCTTTGAAGGACAAAAAAAAAACACCAACCATGACCAATAGTTGCCCAAGGCTTCAGCTAGAGCAACCAAAAAAAAAAATGACAAAGTCCACAAGGAATGCAGATTTTTATCTTTTCCGAGCTTTCTAAATGCAATTTTTTGCCAACCAAACAGAGATTTCAATGAGCTTTGAAATGGGTAATCTGCTTACCTTCTTCTTGTGGCACCCTCGCAGCTACTTTCAGCACCAGCAAACAGCTCAACCTCAACACCCACAAAAGCACAGCTTTTCTTCTCAGCATCATAGAACTTGAAATTATATGTGAAGTATGAATGAAATATATGAGTATTGATTTAAGATCAGGGTGTATTTTTGTTCTTCATTCTGAGTTCTGATTCCGGTGGTGAACTGTGAGGGCCTGTGAAGATGATCTTGTCCAGGTCGTAAACCTTTTGGAATAAAAGATCGGAGTTTTACTAGTCATACATTGAGCTTTTTTCACAGGGGTGATTTGGAATGATGTGATGTACGCAGATTATTCTAATTATAATGTTAACGATATGCATTGTGTTTTACATTTTATTATATTATGTTATTTTTGAACAAATTCAGAGGAGTGCCCTGTTATTATAAAAATATTAGGGGATTTTAGTGTAATTTGACCAAATGCTTTTTTTTTTTTTTAAAGTTTATGAAAAAGTCTAACTAAGAGAGATAGAATTAAAAATGACATTATCTCTTATAGGGGTTAAATTAAGAGAAAATTGACTTTGGTGGTTTCGACATATCTATAAACGACTTATTGTAGAGGTAAACATAAGGATAGAGGTACGTCAAAATTAACTTTAAGTGAAATAGTAAAAAACATATGATAGCCCATAGTTTAATAGAAAATATAGTTCATATCCTTAAAAATATTGGGACATTGTTTTATTGAGTTGAGTTTTAATAGTAACCAAAATTAGAGAATACAAAAGATTATCATATTATCATAATTTGTGTGCATAGAATGAAATTTTTATACAAAAATATATATCAATTACGCCATTACAATATCTTGATATGAAATTAAAATTAATTAAAATTTAAAAAATTATTTAGTTAAATTAATGATCAAAACTAAAAAAAATATGACAAACTAGTGAGGATGAGTCATCTGAATGTGTGATATGGTGTGCCTTTTGGACTTTGAATTTTGGAATTTTTGTTTTTTCCTAGGCATTCAATTATTTGATATGGATTTGTGTGATGGTGATATTATTTTATTATTTTGTTTAATATTATAAAATTATGTAACATGTGGCTTTTGTTTTTTGTCTGCTTTTTTTTTTTTAGCTAAGAATCTAAGGTTATGTTTGGTTTGTATATTAAAAAATAGTATTTAAAAATTATTTTAAAAAAGTGTTTTTGATGTTTTTTGTGTCATAGAATTTATTTGATTATATAATTTCAAAATAATTTTATGGAATAAAAAATAATAAAACTTGTTTAAACAGTTATCCAGAAAACAATAAAAATAGAAATATAGTGGTAGTGTGATGGTGGAAGTTATGATGGCGGTGTTTTCTAAATTCTAGTTTGTTTTTAAATTTATCCAATTTTTGTTCTCAGTTTTCAAAAACACAAAAATAAAAAATAATTGGTTAAACAACTTTTCTACTAAAAATTGTTTTTGAAAATAAAAAAAATAAAAAAACTATTCATCTTAATTTATTGCAAAAATTAGTAGCCCAATGATCTAATTGTAAAATTATTATCTGTTCAAATATATATATTATAATCCACCTATTGACGAGACTTCGGTTATTGTATTATTAGGAGTAACCCGTGTCTCAAGGTAGTACAAGATAAGTGAGAAGTGATGGATTTGAGAGAGGGAAGATAATTCAATATGAATAGTTTTGAGAGGAATGTTGGTGGTCGTTTGATAAGTTTATTTTAGACCATTGGATTAATTTATTTAAATCTATTCTATTTTATATTATAGTAAATTTAGATATGATCAAATATATATAAATTTTTATTTTCAAATATACATAATTTTTTATTTTACATTTAAAGTTGCCGCAACGATAGAATTGCTTTATTATAAAGAAGTTTGGATGTAAAATCAAATGATAGATTTCAACCTGTTGTGCTAATTTTAAGACTGAATTACACCAATATAAAAAAATAGTACAATACATGAGATTTTTATTACTTCTGCTTGTTGAAAGAATCAAATATATATGATCATACCCCTTTTCCCTATCTCGACGCATGCAATGAGATTTTTTTTTTTTTTTGGTGGTATATAAAATGAATATGTAGATAAGTTACTTCATATATTTGTCGGAGAGTATTGTCCTTTAACACCAAACAACTATCTACACAGGACCCTATTAGACCAAAACTAAGGTCTTACATATCATTTAGAGTGCATTATCCCTTAGCACCAAACAACTATTTGCAAGGAATCCTATCGCACTTACATTTAGACTGAAACTAAGGTCTCACCGCATGCCCTAAACGTTGAAGAGGAGATTTAGCCCAAACAAATTGTCATAGTTATGGAGACTAAAACCTAAGCATAAAATGAAAAAATTCAAATTCTTAACCACTGAATTAAAACATTGGTGAAGAGGTTATTTTTGTGATTGTAGTCATTAACGCCCGTCCAAATCCAGCTAGTCATCACACTGACAAATGAACACAACCTTAAGCTAGTAAACGTTCAACCATGTACGACGTAGACCAATTGTGTTTCTTAGTAAATAAGCATGACTTTTTTTTTATTATTGAAAGCATGACCAGTTTGAATTTAGATTTAATAAATACAGTACATGTAGACTGGCATTATTTTATTTTTATTATTTTCATAATTAATATCTACAAATAATTCAAACTAAAATTTTTGATTATAAATTATATTTTTTGTTTAATATCAAAATTTTTTTAAAGAGTACCATAGGCTTATAACATTTTATTTTATAACTTAGCATTTAATCCTTGACCATGTGAAACCCTTGATTTCATTGATCTTACTTTGAGCACTTCTTTCTATGAAAAATGGGAACTTGCTGCCAATTTTGTCGAGGGAAAAACAAAGAAAGTCAGGTTATACGTACCAAAAAAAGTGTACTAAATTATTATTAGCCGTTGGATAAGTGGGACTCACTATAATTCAACATTTGACAATCATTTGGTTCATATTTTTTGTACACATAAGATTAGTCAAACAAAAAATAATAGGAGACCGAAACTTGGAACTTGAAAATTTGGAGAGTGGTGGGTGGCATACAGGCCAACTTGGATGTTTCCTTTGGAAAGGGTTGAGTTTTCAAGTTTGGCTTCTTGCGAGCAAGAAATCTAAAGTTCAATATTTTTTATATTTTTTAAGGGGCGGTCACTCTTGTCCTTCAGGGAACATGTTCTTAAATTAACTCGAATTACAATAATTGACTCAGAGCTCAAGGGAATAGTCAATGCAAATCTGGACACCCTATAACCAAAAAATAAATGTTTATATCCAAGATCCATCCCCATTTTAGACATAAATCAAAATTAAAACTATTTCAAAATTTAACTGCTTTTATTTCTTAAAAGGCCTCCATTAAACTAAAAAATTATTTGGATGCACAAATTTTGTTTTTTCTTGGCTATTTTTGGGTTAGGTTTTTTGCCCACAATTAGGGTTGGCAAATTTTGAAATGACTCGTTAATCTGATATAAAATGGATATAAAGTTTAACGGGTATTAATTTAATTTTAATAGATTTGAATAACAACTTATTTGATTGATTAGCCCTTATTAATGTATGGTTCGACATGATTCTAACTATACATGACTATAAACTATTTATATTTAATATAAATACGACTATACCCAACTATATATAAATTGCAAATGAATTTAAATAAATTTATTACTATAGAATCTAGATGCAGTACAAATTCAATGTGACAATGTTTTCACTTTGGGACATGAAGTACATTTTGACCACTTGAGACTTACCCTCGAGCTATGAGTATTCTACTTTGACCCCTCCCCAACAACCCTATGTTGTATCACACTCCTATCTTTAGTGGTTTGAATGAGGAAAATAAGCGAATTACAAATTGGATTTCAAAACTTACGATACAATAAGATTAAATTACAGTTCATATAAGGTAAGGTATATTTCAATGTGCTCAGTTCAGGATAAATCCAAAAAACTTAAAAAAATAACCCTACTTTGTTATAATCGATTTCAAGTTTGTAAACATCATTGATTAATAAATGTTGATCCAACTAATTGTAGAAAAATATTATGTAATCCAAATTTTCATCCCAAATGAAGGGAGACTATTGGATGAGTGAGTCTCATCAACTTTTTTAAATGAGACCTATTGATCCAATGATCCTCTTCATTTGGGATACAAATTTAGGTTACAGATTTTGGTTACATAGCATTGCTCTTAATATTAACCTAATTTCATTAGTGGTAATTTTTTTGATTATGTTGGGAATCGTATATTATTACGGAAGCGTAGAATCAAAAGTATACATTAATTCGCTTTAATCTCAAAATCTTTGAAGGATATTTCATGTACTTTAGAATCCGAAAATCGTATTTTCTTTAATTGTTCGAACAGTTTAGTGGTGTTACATAAAATGAATCAACATCAAGTTTTTCACACAACAAAAGTCTCTCGATGTTATGTAGGAAAAGAGAAAATCTGACGTTAATTTTTCTGATCTGATGTCCATTAGTTGCCATAGAGTTTATATAAGCAACTAATAAGTGCTTTGAAGAAGGACATGACTTTTAATGGTTTAACAAACACATCCCGTAGGTATAAAGGACTCTTCTAAGAGTCATTCCCTTCAAACATTCTCTAATTGGGTCGACATGGGTGCCTAGATTTGGGTCTATCACCCAAACTCAATATTTAACAGAGTACGATAGGAAATCAATACCTAGATTTTTTTCCTAATTACAAACTTCATTGATTTTTTTTGTTTAAGGCCTTCTAGTAGCTCCCATATGTGTCGGTAGAAAAGGATAAGCTTAGGGCACATGATATTCCACCAAACCTCAGTCTCTTCAGCTTGAAATGTCAACATGAGCAAATTGAAATATTTTAGAAATTATAATACAAAGAACTTTCCTTGCAAATGAAGCATTCACATCAACATGATGAAAAATTGTCAAGGACTGATTTTCTTCTAATCAAACATGTAAATATGGTTTGGAAAAAAATTAGGGTTAAGTTTGAATCTTGTTAGAAAATTTTGCACAACTCAATGCATAATGCTTATTGGGTGATTGCGTGTACGCATTGAACTCATAGAATATTCCCTATTGTATGATATTATGTGTGCATGATATAATCCAACATATGCATATATGGTATTTGGTGGATTGTATCGGTTACATTTGCATATGGTACACATTGGGCCTCTTTGAAGTTGTTTTTTTAGGTGAAAATTTGCGGTTTAAAAAACTTCACAAATAAGTAAGAGT